CCCTGGAAACAGGGGTATCCAAAAGCAAAGGTCATGTGTGATTATGGTCGTTTTATAAATCCCCTGGGATATGGGGAAAAGGATTCGAAGTGGAGTGCTGAGAGTTGGAATAGGCAAAGTGGGAACACATCTTCTGTTCTGATAAGTGTGCATGTGGTGGGGAGGCAGAAAAGTTGCCTTTCTGAGGGGAGATGATCCTGTGCTGGCTCCCTGGCCTATCTGACAGGAAACCATCAGCCTTTTCCCATGCAATGCCAGGCATATCTAAATTTATATAAAGAAGTAAACTCCAGGTGAACTTCTAGCCCGCCTTACAATAAATTTCAAGCTTCTGTGGATTTCCATCATTAAAGAAAGCATAAATCCTTTTGTTTCATATTTGAAAAAAAAATCCTTATAATAGAGATGAACAAGACTAAGACAAAACAGGGGAAATAAAACAGACTCAAAATGATAACTTACAAAAAAGTAGAACTAATTTCACACATCTACATTTCATAGAAATGTATATTAATTGTGAAAATATAGAGATTGATATTTATTGTCCATGTTTTATAAGAAAACGTCTTCCACTCATTATGGGGCTATAGGATTCCTCCCAAAACGATGTATTTAATTTTAGAGAGAGACTATTGACAAGGGCATTGAGTGACAGGACAAGGGGGAATGGCTTCAAACTGACAGAGAGTGGAGTGTAATTATATAACAGGAAGAAATTGTTCCCTGTGCAGGTGATGAGGCCCTGACACAGATTGCCAGAGCAGCTGTGGCTGCCCCATCCCTGGAAATGTCTAAGGCCAGGTTGGATGAGACTTTGAGCAACCTGGGATAGTGGAAGGTGTCCCTGCCCAAGGGGACTGGAACAAGATGATCTTTAAGGTCCTATCCATTCAAACCATTCAGTGACTCTATGATGATTCTATATGATTTTTATTAAATTCCATTTCAAGTAAAAAGTGAGGGCTTGTACTCTACCAGATCTTCAGATATCATTTCAAACCCGTGAACAGTGAGAAGCTAAACACTTGCCTAAGTCTTCTTATAAGCAGAGCCTTAGAATCTTGGTTCAAATGACTCTTGTTTTTTCCCACCTCTGTTCTTGAAATCATACCTTAGTCTTGGATTAAATAGAATACATGATTCTGACTACAATCCATTTAGGTAATAATGAAACTATTCTGGTGTATTTTTTGTTGTTTTTGAATGTGCCTTTCCTAATTTATTTAAAACATATGAGAGATAAAATGTTTGAGTCACTCCAAAACTGAGACTATTTGTCAACTAAGACCTGACAGCAGGGAGGCTGGTGCCAAATTGGCAAACCAATGTCCAGGCCTCAAGTGGACTTGAATTTTCGTAATTGCATGTGTGGCTGGAAGCTGACAAACAAGAACAGATCCAGCAGTGCATCAACTCTGTGCCATTCACTAATTTCTATCAGATCATTTTAAGGGATGGATTTAAAATGCAGCTATCTGGGCATTTTGATGTATGCCCGTGAAGGATAACTCTTTCTTGTGAAACGAAACTCTAGAGAATGATGTTTTCTTGTACCTCAGCCTCTTCCCTCCTCCCACCAAACATCAGGCGCACCAGGCACGTGCTTGTGGGGAACTGCTGCTTCTCCACCTGGTGCTTTCTTCCTTTTTCCCAGCATTCATAGATGTAGGGCTCTGAGGTCAGCCCTGCAGACCTGAGAGCAGGACTTTTCCTTTGGGCTTTGCAGCTGGGCTGAGCTCTTGGGCTGTGGGTGAACAGCCAATCCATGATGCCCTGCTATGCAGGAGGCGGGCAGGAGTTTCTCCTGTACAAAGCTTGGAATGACCAAGTTTGTTAGAACAAGTGGCTGGGCCAGAATGGATGCTGCCTTATCTAACTGATTGCACTTGCAATGGCTTCATGCCTCACAGTGCTTTACAGATGCTTTTTTGAGGGTGTTTAAGCAAAAGACAGCTACCAGAGGATAAGCTGTTTTTGAAAACATTTGGCTCTTGCAGCAAATTCACTTGCCAAAGAAAACTCTGTGTTCCATTTCTATGAGAACCCCTGGAAACATTACTCCTGTTGTCTGCTCCTCTCTGCTTTCTCAAGCAAGTGACTATTGTTTTCACTAGACAGGAAATCTCTTCCTTAGCCTATTTTTTCCTTCATCAGGGCTGCTTCTTTTGCTTCCTTGCTTTTCCTTTCACAAATATTACAGGTTTCTGCTGCCAGCTACTTTATCTCCTTCCTTATCATGCTGCTTTTCAGCCAACAGCCTTTGCAGAAACCTATTTTCCTCTGTAAATCCGTGAAGAGGCAATTTCACATCATCTAAGCTAGACAACTGTACACTAAAGAGCTCTTCCATTGTGTGCAGAGCCTTGTTGGACACATCCCTGGCTGCAGGAAGTTGAACACCAGGGATCATTATTGTGTGTGGGGTACATCACCTAATATGGCATATGACAGCATTTGATACAGAAAAAAGATGATTTTTTAAGCTCCAATACAGTAAAAGATCCAAATTGTCTACACATATTGAAGGGAGCAAAAATCCCGATTTTACACAATTAAACCAAACTTTAAAACAGGCTATAAAGGGACTGTTCTGTCAAAGCATGGAATAATCTTAATCTGCCCTCATATACAGGGACACACACACACTCTGAGTTGCTTCATGTTAAAGCAATGAAGAAAACTATTTTAAAACTTTTTCCCTTTCCAACCAATAAATCTCTGTGGAAAGAGCATTCTGGCTCAGAAAGCAAAAGGTTTCAAACTCTCAGAAGTTCCATAGCCCTGTTTATCTGCTACCTCACCTAGAGATCTTTAAAACAATCATTGGAACATTTCCTGTCTGATTATCTTATCCCTGCATGGTAGTTCCTTCCCACCTGTACTAATGCCTTACAAGGAACATTTGTTTTAATGTTGCAGGGTATAAAGAAGTCCCCTTAAATTATTGCCTTTGAATTTCTATTATTAAATCTTGAGATGATAAACTTAGCCCCATTATTGATTGCCAAATCCACGAATGCTTACTCTCTTAGTAATGTTTGAAATGCATAATATTAAATGCAAAATTCGGGTTCCAGCTGCCATATGTTCAACATCCATCACTCCACCTGATTTTCCTCGTTGTGTTCTTGGGTGTAGGATTCAACCCATAGATCCTTTCTAATCTCACTCCAATATTGCTGCTGCTCCAGTGTGAATGTAGTATGAGAAAAATCAGATTCAGGCCCAGATGTTCATTAAGAACCCAATGTTAAGTTGCCCCTGGAAAACTTTCATGGCATGTCAATAGCATGTAATCAGTCATTATTACATTAATGTAATATATACATAATTACATATTAACACTGTGAAAATATACATATACAAAGAAATATAAAATATACATAATTACACATTTACACTGTAAAAAAGCTACAATCCCCAGAAAACATGGAGTGGGAACTACTTCAGCTAAGCAGGGGGAACTGGGGTCTGGTGTCACCCTCACTGAGATGACTGGCACAGAACAAATTAGTGCTTAGAGCGGAAGCAGAAGGAGTCTCATGACATTTTCAGAACACTTCAGTTAGTGGAAAAAAACCCTCCACCACATTTCCTGAAACATCCTGCAGCAGATTAAACATGCAGGGCAATTCCTCTGGTGCTAAGATGTTTGAGAGGGTCACAGCCTCCTGTGTCTGGAGGCAATCAAAGATGAGTAGTTTATGGGTTGTGTGCAAGTCCAAGTTTGCATACAAACTTATTGCATACATAAGGGTTTATCTGGTGATATGAATTTAATGAAGTTTTGCAAAGTAAAATATTTCTAATATTGACCCTAATGTTGATTTCATATTTGTGGAAACATGAGCAGAGCATAGAGTAACCTCAGTGTCAGGAGGAAAATGATGGCATTGGTAAAACAGCTAAAATTATCTCCTGATCACAGGGGAAAATATGAAAAAAACCACCAGGGTTTCAATTCTTTCAGCATTTAACTAGTTACATGATCCAATATGAGCAAATAGATCCCATCAGCAACATAATACCTTCTTTTTTTTCCAGGTAGGTTGGAACAAGATGATCATTAAGGTCCCTTCCAACTCAAACCACTCCATGATTTTATGATTCTATGGCTCTATGATTCTGTGATTCTATGGTTCTGTGATGCAGAAGATGCAGAAGAGCTGCTTCAGACCAAGTCTGAGCCCAAATGTGTTGCCTTTTCATATCCCACAACTGGAGAAATCCCCTCCTGACTGTCCCAATGTCATGATGCCACCTCTCATGATGAAAAAGGTTCATCATATGTGTTGTTTTGGGGGCCTTTGTGGTGGACAAAGGTCTGGGGGCAACATAGAGGCTCCAGTTGTCCTATGCAGCCATGCTGTGACAATCTTGGGCAGCAAAGCTAAGGGGAAACTCCTTTGAATCCCACTGATGTTGATTTGGTGTCTTCACAATCTCCTGTGCCCTGTCATTGGGGTGTTTCTGCTCTCACTGTAAAATATTTGACACAGTAATTTGCCATAGAGGAGATGGGAGCTGTAAATCTGTAACTGGAGTTATTTTCAGTCGTTTTGAGCAATTTAAAGTGCTTTTGAAGTGTTTCAATTAGATGGGCAGCTATTGTGGGTATCATGCTGAAAAAACAAACTAGAAATACTAGGGTGAATACATGAGTAGTGTTTGTTGCAACAACTTGATTTTTTTTTAGGGTGCATTTTGATTATTTTCTTTCCTTTCCTTTCTGGACTTCTGGAATGTGTCTTAGCACCCTTCAGAGTAACTCAGCAGTGATGGAACCTCATTCCTGTGATGGAGCTGTAACAAGTACTTTGCTAGAGCATGCCCTCCCTGGGTAACTTTGTTCATGTCAGTAAATCGAGTCCTGCAGGCTTGTGCCCAGCTGCACAGACTGAAGTCCACGGCAGTTCTCACATGCTTAAAGACATGCTTCAGTATTTCCAGTACCAGGGCCTGCCTTCTCCCAGTGGGGAATTGTGTTCTTCCAGAGGCTTTTGTCCCAGTGTGCTTGTGGAAATCTGTCCCTTTAAGTCTTGCAGGGCTGAACGGCTCCAGTCTTCCCGTAGCCATTTTGCAAGTGCTGACTGTTGGGTGCCTGTTCTGGTTAGTCCCTGTCCTGCTTTTCCACATGCCTCTCCTTCCACCTCTGCAGCTCACAAAAAGCCTCACCAGAGGTAAGTCTGTCTTTTCTTTTGTGTTTGATCATGGTAAAAATGCTGTAACACGTTGTTTGTGGTATGAATGTCCATAGCTTTGAAAATTTCTCTGTTCTTTTTTACTGAAGAGCAGGGTCTGTTCCAGGATGCAGCACTTTGCCAGAGTACACTGATTAAGGGGACTTCTGAAGGCTCTTTCTTTTGCAGTCTGAAGGGGTATTTTTTGTTTTTCTCTGTAGCTCAGGCAGCTTCACTGTCAGTGGTAAATGCTTTAAATAAGTGCCAGACAGGTGCTCTGTTTATTGCATAAATAAAATTCATTTTGCAATAGTCTTGGATTTGAAAATATAAGGCAGAGGTATTAGCTGAAGGTGGTAAGAAGCACAGTAGGTGGAGGAAATGTGATGTGTCAAACAAATATCAATTCTCAGACCTCTGTGATGCACTGAGTCACTAAACACAGCACTATATGTTGACACCCTTGATACATTCCGTATTATGTCAGCTAAAAATCTGGGTGCCACTGAGTGGTTTAAAACTAGTTCCTGAAGAGTAATATGTAATGATACTGTGATAATGAGTATAGTGAAATAATAAATTTGAAATAATAAATAGTAGTATTTGCAAGAAAAGGAAGTGAATTTGGAAGCCTGATTTCCATCAGAAAACAAAAGTTTTAATTGAAAGAGCTGGCAGGCTTGCCTACAAAAAATATAACAGCAGGAGATCTACAGAATCTTTTTCTATGAATGTGGTTAGCCTGCAGGAAATTCATACGTAAGCTCAGGAATCTACCCTTTTCTTCCGGAATGCCAACAGCTTATCCCAGGGAAAAATGTGAGTAGTGGCTATTACATCATAAAGCAACCAGTTACACTACAAGATGACAGTCATTTTCTGCTTTGTGCCTCTTCCAAGTTTTGCAGGGGATTTAGGAAGAGCTGTTAAGACTTTAAGACAGAAAACTGCAGAAGCTGTTCCTGTTCTTAATTTGTCATGTACCACAGTCTGGGGGAAAAAAAAATCTAAAAGGAGCAATGGTGGAGAACGCCAAGCTGGCAGAAAGCAGAGTGCAGGGATGCAGACGGAATCAGTTGCCTGTGTCCTATGCTGCTACAAAATGTGATGCTTGGGAAGTGCTAAGAGTGTTTTCAGCTCCTGAGCCTGGATCTTATGACCTGTGATTTTTCCGTGGTGGTTTGAGTGTTTGCAGAGCTCACCCCCAAGCAGAGGTGCTGCTGACAGATGAGTATTTTAACCCCTTGCAACAGCTGTGGCTACATTGTGCCTGCCTTGTGTGGGTTGTGCTTCTGAACTGACATGGAGGAGAGCTCTGCAATCCTGAATTGTAGCGCACTTCAGTCTGTGCTCTGTCTTGGGCCAGCCACTACCTACACAGAATCTCAAAATCCCAGGATGGCTCAGACTGGAAGGGACCACAGTGAGTCACTGGTCCCACCTCCCTGCTCCAGCAGGGCCATCCCACAGCACAGGGCACAGGATTGTGTCCAGAGGGGTCTGGAATATCCCCAGTGAGGAGACTCCCCACCCTCTCTGTTCAATCTGTTCAGTCCTCGGTCGCTGCCCAGGACAGAAGTTCTGCCTCCTGCCCAGGTGGAACCTCCTGGCCTCAGTCCCTGCCCGTTCCTCTGGTGCCATTGCTGGGCCCTGGAGCAGAGCCTGGGCCCTGCTCGGAGCCCTCCCTGCACACAGGGACACCCAGGGCTGAGGGCCCCTCTCAGCTGGGGCTCCTCTCCGGGCTGGACAGCCCCAGCTCCCTCAGCCTTTCCCTGCCACAGATGCTCCAGGCCCTAAATCACCTCTGCAGCCTCCACTGGCCCCAAGCCAGGAGCTCCATGTCTCTGCTGTCCTGAGGAGCCCAGGGCTGTACACAGCTCTGCAGATGTGCCTCCCAGGGCTGGGCAGAGGGGCAGGATCACTCCCTGAGCTGCTGGCAGTGCTCCTCCCAATATACCCCAGGAGACCACTGACCTTCTCGGCCCCAGGGCACTGCTGGCTCATGGACAGTCGCAGCAGTCCTAAATGGTGGGGCCAGGTTTTGTCCTTGGAGCAATGGAAATGGTTCAGCTGGACACTGGGGCAGAATGGGAGTGCTCATCCCTGCAGCATCTGACATGCCCCTGGGTTTTGTGAATTCCTTCAAACACATCAGCAATGGAGGCTGCTTTCTCAGCCGCCTGCTTTTGGTGCAGGTGCTGTAGGAAGATTTTTCTGTGTACTTGCAACCCAGATGTTGCCCTTACAGGCAGTAGAAATCATTGTCTGGTGCAGAAGAGATGCCTGTTCCCAAGTGCATGGAAACGTGTTTTGATGTGCTGCCTTCCTACACCTTGGCTTGTGTTGTAGGAACAACATCAATATAGTGGGAAATCCTTTTAAAACGTATAATATTTCATTGTTACTTTGAAGACTGCTGCCCTGGTCTGTGGGACAGAACTGTGCTGCCGTCTCAGAGGAATGTGGCCCTGCCTTTATCTACACGTAGCCATCCTGGCTGAGGGGCTGTACTGATCAAGCAGACGGTGCCTTTCCATTCAACCACCTTTCACTCAACCATGGAGGAGAACTTTGTTCTGCCTTGCTGTCCAGCTGTTATTTTACAGCTCTGTTCCTAGATTAAGGAACTGGTTATATTTTTAACTCTCAAAATGTCTTTCCCATTAGCGCTTTCCCACTTGATCTGTGTGGGTGGCCTGCAGCTCCTTGGCACCAGCTAACACTTAATCTTGGTCAGTCTTCCAGATCTGGTTGATCATGTCACCTGCCCAGCCCAGCAATGGGCCATTGTCTTGCACCCAATTCATCAACTCTAATACAAACTGCACATCTGAGGGTTGGCATTTTGTCCCCACTGCCAGATGTCCAAAGGAGTTGTCTCTTCCCTGCTCCTTGCTCTCTCTTCTACCTCATTTGAAGCCATTTATCCTGGGATTTCCATCTCTGTCCTATGAACTCTTTTATTTTTGGGCAGTTGTCGACAGCTTTAACTTAATTTTCAGAGCTCACACTTGTGCTGAAAGCACCTGGGACTTCCCCTCTACAGAATATCTTAATTTGAAATGCTGTGATTTGTAGGTAACCTATGCTAGGGAGAAGTCTTCCAGCCCACTGGAGGCCTCTGGAATTACAGAATAGGTCCATAAAAAAAAAATAAAAATTAAAACTCATATGAGGCAAAATTACTATATAAACGTATATTTACCTGTGATGAGAAATTCTATTTTTTACTATTTTAAGGGAAAATTAATTCCATTAAGTGCTAGACTCATGTTTTCTGGGCTCTTCACTCCATCAGTCCCAAAAATCCCTCTCATTCAGCTCAACCCCCTTTCTCCTCATAGGTAGTTCCTACTTTTAGCCTGTCAGTGCATGTTGGATCAGGAGACAGACAAAGTGGTCTGCAAATAAGATTGTGATCCTGACAGAAAATGAGTCTATATCCTTATTTGTCCTTCTTTTTAAGTCTTTGATGGAATTCACCACTCTCTAAGACAGGGGTGCCCACCCTGCAGCATCCAAGCTGTTTCCAGCTGGCCAAAAAATTCATCTCAGAGTCTGGTATTGGCCACCTTTCTTTAGAATCGTCCACATTTGATTGACAGACTAATAAATTCATCTGGAGAACTAATACGAACAGAACAAGAAGTTAGCTGGGAGGGAAGAGAGATGTGAAGGCAAGTGTTAGTGCTGTCCTGACAGCAGTTTGCCAGCTGCAGTGACCTATACTGGTTCTTTTCTTTCGACACCTCTGGACCTCCACAGTGAAGGATCTCATCTACCCTGACATCGAGGATGACATTAAACTGCATTTAAGTTTGTGTGTTTGCTCTAAATTTCCCATAAATTTTTGGAGCTGTCTAGCAAGGACTTGGAAAACCATAGCAACTTGCTTGATGAGGTGTATGGATGGTAGGAGGGATAAATTCACCTACAGTTGTAGCAGCCTTCAAGCAGGTATTGGAATAAGAGATACAAAACAAGGAGATCATTACCTAAAAGGTTTTCTGTTTCCTCAGCATCTTTTAGAAAGTGCTGCTGTCAAACCCCTCACTTGGAGGGAAGTGTTCAGTTTGCCTTCAGACATTGATGTGAGCCCCTCAGTCACTGAGTTGGCCTTGATAACTTCACCTTAGGTCTAAAGCTGTTCCCACAGTTATCCATAGAATGACTTTTCCCCCTGGCATTCCCAGCTATCTCTGCATGTAACTGACTTCCCTTTCCCCAGTACACCATGCAGGCAATTAGAATGACTTTTGCAAGGAAGAATTTGTGAAGTGCTGCCAAACACTTTGCTGCTAATTGTTGTGCTTTGATTTCTAAAAACAATGAATGATCAGTTTTTTTGGTGTGTTCTTTTCATTGCCCTATAAATCCATGTTGTTTTATTGACCATGGTTCAATTATCAAGCACATAACCCAGTAGAAGTTTTTTGAAGCTTTTTGCAAATTTCCATGGTTTTGGATCAAGCCTGAAATGCTAACAGATTATCTTTTGTGCTACTTCTTCTGGGAGTTTAAAGCAGAATTTGTAGAATGGTAACTAAGGGGCTTGATCATATTGTTGTTCCATTTGGGGTTTTCTTAGTGAACAACAATAAGTTCCAGGAATAAAATCACTAATTAATCTTATTATTACCCTGATCCCTAAAAACATTTGAGTATGGGCTCAGTTTTAAGCATGGGGTTAATCTTACCAATTTATTGTCAGCTCTTTTTCCTTTAAAACTGGACATGAACTTATTATGGGTTATTTTGGATCAAGACTTACAGAAGCAGTTAGAGTGAATTAAATCCACTTTTAACGCAGACCAAGCTATGGAACTGTCTCTCAGTAAATCCTGATTGTGGTTATGGGGTGGTTTTTTTTGGGTTTTTTTTTGAGAATGAATCTATAAACCACTCCTACAGACACTATTAGCAGAGACTCACTAAGAGCTTTAAGCACAAAAATCTCCCTGACAGCAGAATTTCAGCTCAAGCTGTTATATTTTATTTTG